GGGGGATGGGAGGGATCCGGGTCCTGGGGGGTCGGTGCCCGCGGGGGTGCGGGGTCTGGGTCTTTGTCTCCGCGCGAGTTGTCTCGCTGCGTCCCTCCTTCCAGGGGAGAGCCCTCACCCGTCCCTTCTCCCCCGCCGTCCTCTCGATTCTTCCCCGTGGCGTTGTGGTGGCAGGAGGATTCGTAGCATCCTGCGCCGTCTCCGCGGTCCTCGTCCCGGGGATGCCCGAGCCGCTTGCCTGGACTGCACGCTTCGCCCTCTCCGCCTGGCTGGGAGGCGTGAGTGCAGAGCACTGCGGTGTAGACGAGCGTCCTTAGTACGCTGGTGTCATGCGAGCTTGGAGATTGCCCCGGCTGTAAATGTTTCAAGCGCTGTGGGGCTGACAAGCTGCAGTGTCTATTCTGGTTAAAAAAAAACTGTTGTGGGGATACTCGAAACGTTTATCTGTGGCTTAGTGTGCAGGATGTACGGTGCGTGGCGTTTTTCCTTTTAAATGGTTGATGTAATGGTCTGAGACTCAGAAGAGCAGCGCGATTGTTGATGGGAAGCAGCATTAGTAAGTGAACGGGAATTTATTTTTCGGTGTACAGTATGTGCATGATCTTTTTCTGGCTTTTTACCATTTATAAAAATGTAGTAGTGTTATCAGTCAGAGCTAAGGGCAGCTGGAGTGGGTGGCGGATTTGCTGTTTGTCTTTTTTCAGGCTTTACGTTAGTAATCTCTTTTTCATTACTGTACGACTAGTGTTGAGAGGGGTCCCCTCACTCCAGCCTTTTTTTAATGGTAAACCGAGGTACAGACTGTAGATGGTGCTTTCAGTTGAAGATGGGGGTCAGGCCTTTCCTGTACTGGAAGTCAGGGGAGAACTTCTCACCATTGCAACTACTGGTGGTAACTCTATTAGAGAAGCTAGTGTAGACGGGGCAGCTGTTGGTGTTTTTGATACTCTGTCATTTAGGTCTGTTCCCGGCTGGACTGGATGAACAAAATATTATAAGCAGCATTGCCTTGTGCTTTCAATGCGGTTGCCGCCAGTGGATCTGCATCTGATGGCAATTATATAAATCCTTGGAAATAAATAAGAAAATCTCCTAGTGTAGAGACAGTCTTCAAGCTTGAGCTTCACTGATGCATATCGTTGGCCCATTGCTGCTATTGATTTTATTTATTGGGGAACTGTCATGAAAATAGAGTGTTGTCATTTAGTAAGAGTTGTATTTAAAACATTAAATTGGGAGCTAAATGAAATATCCGGATACAATATTCTTAATATATGTCATTTTATCCCTAGCGTGAAATAAAGTGATTTTGAGTAAGGAGGTTAAAGAAAAACCTTTTTCTTTCATCCTTCCAGAATTTTCTTATACATAGCAAATGAAACGTGCCTTTAGCCCCAAATCCTAGAGCAGGATTTGCAATAGCATGTGAGTCCAACTTAAGTTACAGAGTTTTTACAGCATCTTCCTGTCCTTGAGCCAACAATAAAAGGACAGTCTTGGTTATAGATATTTTAGCAGCTCTCATTTCACATAGTTCTATTTCATACCCTGAAGTCATGCTGAGACTAGTAATTTAGAATACAACCAAAAAAACCATGGCTTTCAGCTGCCTTTCTGTAGTGTACTTTATTGTGATTGTTGGACTAGTAGGCAGTGTCTGCCCATATTGATACTCCACAGCAGAGGGTAGGAGCAAGTCTGGTGAAGAACATTATGTACAGATAAGTACTGGAGAGAGAATTAAAGCTGTGTTATAAGGGGAAAAAAATCTAGTTCACTGGTGTGGAGGACAGAAAGCCACCCTCCCTCCTAGAATCACTGTTGCCTTTAAACCATTATTTTGAAAAGTACAGCTTTAGATAATGATTTCTTTTTTTTTCAGTTCTTCACAGCCAAGTCCTGGGAATTGGAACATAAATCTTTTCTTCTTCCCCTCCTTTTCAGCAGATTTTATTTAGCAATGAAATTGCACACCCCCAAGATGATGACTGGCATGTAGACTAAAGCCCTAATCCTGCAAACACTTGCACACCAGCTTAACTGCAGGCAGCTCAAACCATTCATATGAGTGAGCTGCAGCACCACTCTATAATTGATAATAGGAGAATATTGTTCAAGTTTCATGGTTCAGGCACAAAGTTGGATAACTGCAATTTCCTTTACAGGTTATAAACTGTTTACCATGATCTGTTTTTACTCTTTGTCTTTAAGATTGAGACTACACTTGCCTCTTGCATATAGAGGCCTTTGCTGGGTCAGGACACACATGCTTTCCTCTGGACTGCTTTCCACAGTTCTAGTTGTGGAAGGCATGCAGGGCAGCCTCTCCACAGGTTTTGGGGAAGTAGGGATCTTTGTAGGCAACTTCTGCCTCATGCTTTCACTTCCGGCCATGTTTTTTCAGGCATGTGCTTGTGTGGAATGCCTGCCAGAACAAAGCTCATGCTTGTTAGTGTCTTAATTCACGGTTTAAATACATTGTGCGTGTGCTCGCCTTTCGAGAAGTGCTTAGTTGTCCAGATTGGGCCGATAATTCAGGAACCGTGAGAACAAGCTAATGACTTGTATTATTCCTTTACTTTTCCCCAGTATTAGTGACAGTGTCATAATAGTGGAAGACTGAGACTAATGTAATAGCATGCAAAAGATATGCTGTGTGTGGGGCCAAATCCTATTAAATAACAGCAACTTTGAAATAACTTTTAAGCTGACTTTGAACTATGACTCAGTTTCAGTATAGGTCACTTGATTTTGTTATCTAAAAAACTGGAGAAGTATTAATATGTAACATCATTTTTATATACTTTAATATAATTAATATAAACACAGTCACTTTTTCATTTTGGAAATGTTTTCATAAATATAGTTTATAGGTTTGTTTTTCTTTTCCCCCAAATCTAATAATTTATAGCAGAAAAAGTGCATTTTTTTTGTCATGAAGGGGTTAGTGGGAAATGAAGACAATAGGCCTGTTTATCATATCATCTGGTCTCCGTATACCAGCTCAAACTTTTTAGTAATTTTGCAGGTTAGCAAACCGCTTGGGTTTTATAATATAAATTTTAAAGGTTAGCTAGACAGATGCAGTGTAGTCTTTTTTTTTTTTTTTTTTTACTGTCCCAAAGCTGTCTGCTTATCCCAACTTCATGTAAACGATCATTAAGTACACAGCACTGCCTACTTTCTCTCATGTTCAGGACAAGGTGCTTTGGCTAAATCTGATCTCTTTTATTAGACCAACTCATTTTCAAAGCTTCTAATAGTTTCAGGGCAGCTATGAGGGAAGCTAGTTGGTTTGGGAGCTGCTAAAACCACAGCACTGCCAGCGGTGTATGCTTAAGCAATACTTAGAGCACTGTTAGCCTTGTGGTACTGTCAGCCCCCCAAACCAGCTAGCTTCCTTTGTGCCAAGGCTACTAATAGCAGTCCCAAAACAGACTATATAAGAAGTCCTGAAAAATGAGGGAAGCTCCTCAGTTTCAGGGTTGCTAATACCAGAGCACTGACAGCTGCATTACTTAATAAGCATTATTTATGGAGCTGTAAGTACTAGCCTGTTAATACCCCCTGAAACTACCTTCCCCCATTTTTTGGGGATGCTGTTAGGAGCCTTGGAAGTGAGGAGAGAGAATACCTATGAAACTAACTAGCTTCCTTCATTTTCAGGTCATCTGCTAACGTGCCTTCTCCGACTGCTGCTTCCCTTTCAGTTTTCCTAGGAAGGTTCAAGGGAATGCAGTTAATATGCAGTTAACTTGAATACATTGCTACAAAATAGAGGGGCTGAAATATGCCATGATTTAAGTGGTTTATGCATTTAACCAGTCTGCGTATAGTGAGTTTATTACAATAAACACTGAACAGTAGATGGGCACTGGCAGCGTTATGCAGCTAAAGGAATCGCACACTCCTGCACCTTGTACACACGTGATGCAGCCTGATAAATATTTCTGTTGAGTCTGAGCTCTTTTTACTGTAGGATAAATGAGATAATGTACTCATCAATAATTATGCATACAAGAACTGTTATAAGAATATTATATTTGCATAGTCAAGTAATTAGAAGTATGGTATGCATGACGATACCCATCTTTAATTGTGTTACTACATCCTATATGTATATCTTCACCCAAGACTACCGTCCTCACTCCAGGTTCAACTGTCGTCGTCTCTGTGTTCGAGTTGGGCTGATTCCTCCACCACGCTGCTGGGATGCCAGTAAAAGAAGCACAGAGAGGACAAGGGACAGTCTCCTTGCGCTTGTTTACTTTACCTGGCATTAGAGTGACTCCTGACAGCTGGGAGGAGTAATTGGAGGAAAAGCATTGCT